AATAAGCATGTCAAAACAGATCTGTTCACTTGGGACACACTCCCTGTGGTTTTTTGGGTGAGGAATAACAAAAACTATGCAATCTGATCCAGGATTATGAACTGTAATTTACCTCCTCTAGCTGCAATTATTTGATACTGACATTCACTCTGGAGGTGATTTAGGTATGGCACATAGGCAGGTTTTCACAGTGCCTCCTTTAGGCTACTTTAATCATTTGATCAGTGTAGGAGCTTCTAAATAGCATCTTGAAGCATCTGATTTGGTGTCTACAATGAGATTGCATGACTATACTCCATTGTCTTGGATAACAAAAGAGATTCTTTGGTAAATGAATGAAGAAAACTACCTGGGGAAGTGAAGTTTTCTGTAGAACAATAGCATCTCTGCACTCTTACTGTTGTTAGATATAGAGACAAAATTGGCCTACCTGAAGTCAGTTTGCTCTCACTACAAGGAGCAGTGGCAGCACGAAACTTTCATTAACTTTTTACTCCTCTGTGCTGGAACAGAGTTTAGTGTGAGGAGAATATTAGGCTTGTTCTCATGACTTCACTTCAAAACGTGTCCTCATCTCTGAAATAGTGGTTACCTGGTGCTCTCACACTGCTGCACTCTTAATCTTCCAGGGCTACAACTAAGCAGTCAGATCAAAGGGTGCCTTGTGACATCATCTGCTGACAAATATGTGAAAATCTGGGATATCCTTGGAGACAGACCAAGTTTAATCCATTCCAGGAATATGAAAATGGTAGAGTAATACTCATTTCTTGATTCCAAGAAGGTCTATATATAAACTATGTCTGCTTAATCTTTTTGTCTAACTTGAAAGTTTTGTCTAACTTATGTTATGTAAAACATAACATCTTTTAGCAAAAAAACCTAATCACATCTGTGTTATTCTGGGTAAGTCGTGCTCATTACAGTGCAGTATTCAATTCCACATGTAGTTGGCAGTCTGCTTTAAAGCCTCAGACCTGAACACCAGATACAGTGTTCTGAGTAGAACTACAGGTACTCCGACTGCCAGGTTGGAGTAGACAAAGATGTGATTTAGTGTTTGTAATTAGCAGCTCTCGACTTTTGTCTTTCCAAAATAAGTTTCGGGAAACTTTTAGAGCTTACATTTGTTAAAACTTGCTTGGTGAAAATATTTTCAGATGACAAATTCATTTTAGGATGATATTTTAAAAAAAGTCTTCCTCTTTCTGCCTCCCCCCAGGGTGTTCTCTTCTGTGCAGCTTGCTGCCCTGACTTCCCATTTGTTTTTGCCTTTGGAGGAGAGCGAGAAGGTCTGCGTGTTTGGGATATAAGTAAGATTTCTGCAGTTAATATTCTCTTTTTTTTTTTTTTTTTTTTTTAATCTTATGGTTCTCCCCTTGCCCCCAGGGTATATTTGTATATTCGGTAATGTGTAGTGCCTCTGAGAGAAACCGTAGGTTAGTATTTTTATATGTGTTCATGTTTTCAGCTTCAAAAAATGTGGGGTTTTTTCTAACTTGGAGAACTGTGTTTGCCACATGACTTATTTTCTTGTAGCTGAAGCATACCACCTGATTTCTTACAATACCTATGTTTTAGTTTTTTCTTAATATTCCTGGTGTAATTAAGTATCACATTCTTGAATACCTGTAGGAATAAAAGTGAGGGCTGGTTTTCATCCGTTGTCATAGCTACATGTAACTAAATGGCGTGAATTTTTGGAGGCGGATTTTAAGAGCTTGGCGGAAACGAGAAATAAATTATTTAAACTTAATGTTTTGCTCTACAAACCTCATCCATTTCACAGTACTGAGGTACAGGAATTAAGCACAGGGAAAACTCTAGAGATGCTCTGGGGGAGAAATAACAGGACTTGTAATTTAAGTATCATATGCGGCCAATTGTTCTGATGTGGAAGCTTCAACCCCCTACGTGGGGTAAGGGGGAAAAGCTTTAAAACCACACTGGGTTAGGATTTCCATTCTGTGAAGTTAACATGCTATACCTGCTGTACTAATCTTGTCTCTGGAACAGTAATGTGAGCAATCCCCTGTCTGTGTTGCAGTGAATGAAGTTTTTGGAAACAGAGAGAGACACGTTCTGGCTAGTACCAACTCTGTGGCTTGCAGCTCCACAGCCGGCAGTAGCAGCAACGATTTGGAGACAGCAATGGAATCGTGATGGACCAAGCATCACAAAATCAAAGTAATTCATGGGACTATAGCTAATGTACATTCTACAAATCCTCCTGTTTGGTGAGAGTTCATAGAAATTACTCTAGTGTCTTGCAGTCTGCAGGCTGCTTCATCTTGGACAAAGAAAGATGGCAATGTGGTTAAGCTCTAAGTCAGCAGTTTTAAGTTCCTGCCTCTATCACCAGCTTTGAAAGATTACATCACTTGCTTTTGCCTGAGATTAGATCCCTGAAACAGGGGCTACTATGTGTAAAGTTGATATATCAAAATGGAAATAGTCACTAGAAAAAGCGCTGGGGCTACCAGAAGTTTGTTGAATACTGCAAAGAAGGTAAATATCTTCTAAAGGCATAAGGAAAAATATTTCAGACAACAGGTATGTAATAAATAAACAAAAGCTGAATGAAATGACAAGTGTAAATAGATAATTTATCCTTAATTTTAGGCTGGATTTACAGATTTCTAATACAGATTTTAAAAGTTCTTCTATGAAACTTTTAAGTCTTAAGAGTATTTCTTGGGCATGCTAGAGTAGAATCATGAAATGTATTTGCAACAAAGAGCTCGCCAATATCAAATGAGAAATATCCTGGCTGTATCCCGTCAAGATCAAGGGTTTCTTTTCCCTGGTTCCACAGCACCTGAAGCTTAGTGATGGTGCATGTGTATTGATTGGGATTTTTCTTCAAGCTCCAAAGGTAACATATATAAAGAGAATTTGAACTGAAATATAAGGAGCTACTAATCAGAAGAGGATGAGAGGCTGCAAGGCCACAAAGCAAGGGTAGGGATCTCAGCTGGTCAGTGTCACTGGTGAAAGCTGTCCATGTTATGTAGTCACGTTCCTAACTAACTCCTCCAAAGGATTTCTACCTGCAACCAGAAGGCACAGAGGAAAGTTCTGAGTATTGGCCTAACCACTGACTTAAACACTTTGTTTATAGCATCAGAAACCTAGTCAAGGAATGTGACTCAAAACAATTTCCTCACATTTTAAATGAACACCGAAGTGCCTTACCTCAGGCCAGAAGTAAGTTAAACACTACTTGTACCCTCCTGTGAAGTGCTTCCCTCTCCACATACCAGAAGGTGTCTACTGAAGTGCTGCTGCTGCAAAAATGCCACCGGTATTAAAGCAACTGGTACCAAAGCAGCTGTAGTGTCAGCACATGTAGTTGACAAGAGCTTACTACAGCTTTCCACCCTGCTTCATTGTAACTCCTTCTGGTTAGGTACAGCAGCTAAATGGTACCAGTACAAACTGCAGATGCGGAAAAGGCAGGGCTCTACCTTTCCTTTCCAGCCTTTGAAGTGGCTGCTCCTAAATCCACTGTAGCTGTTTCTAGCTTGGTGACAGGTGTTTAGCATGGCTCTGCAGGAACCAAGAGCATGTTGGATGTGTTGGGATTCCCGCCTCAATCCTTTCTCTGCCAAGCAATAGTGAACAATGTGTGGAAAAAAAAAAAATTAACAACTGCTTTTGTGAAGCTTAAGAAGGTGAAAGCAGCAGAACCACCTCAGTTGACGTGCTCTCCACTGAAAAGCTGAAAGTTTTTTCAAAGCTTTCATTTGCAATAAATGCTTTGTGTTAAGCTCGTTGAGGGTAGTCACTTCTGTTATCTCTACCGCTGGTATTAATTGGTACTGTAGCTCTAGAAGTTGTTTTTTCATTTTAGGAAGAAATTGCATTACTGCAAGCAACACATCTTTCCCTTGACTAAACAAAATCCTTCACCCTGTATTTCTGGAGCTTTTTATTCACACACTGCTCTCAGAGGGCAAGCAGTATGCATTTTCAGGTTTGAAGAACCCAAGGAGCTCTCTAGGAAGTAGAGCCTACAGAGAGATCTTAGGCCCTTTAGGGCAAGAACTGGAACCCCTTTCACAAGGGAACCTCCAACCACCTTGTCAGAGAAGAGAGCTCAGCCTACTTTTCTTTTGCAGCACAGCCAGAGGAGCCACACAACAAAGCGACCGGGTTTAAAGACCGGTTCTTAGGGGTGCTGGTTCATGGAGGTGCTCCTACCCCTACCTTGTCCCAGGAAAGCTTGGGAGAGGCAGATGATGAAAAAGTGGTGTTATTTCTCTTAGCATCATTATCAGAGATAGGACCTTTTTTTTCCTTCAGAATGTGTAAATATTAAAAAAAAAGAACATTTAGAAAAGAGCCACATTTTTAATTTTTTTTCAAAAGAAAACAACCAAATGAAATACATCTTCATTCCATAAATAATATTAGCAGCAAACCCTTCCATCATTCTAGGTGGTAAAAGGTTTACAGCACAAGAAGTAATAGATACTGTAAACGCTGTCCAATCATCTGTAAGCCGCTTCCTTACTGAGCTATACAGTCTTCACCTCTTCACCTGCTCACGTGTTCTAGTGAACAGGAGAGAGAAGAGGCAATAACTGTTCTCCAAAAGCCAATGTTTGATTTTTCTGTAGTGGGACAACTGCTTTGTCTGTAAATGCTGATTTCACTTTTTTTTTTTTTTTTTTCAAAAGAAGGAAACCTGAGCATTGACCAGTCTTTGCTTTGTGCCAAACCACATCCTTCAGTTAAAAAGTATTAAAAAGCAAAGTACATCAACTGCTACCACCCTTTTTTTGTTTGTTTTTCTTATTGTCGTGGCTTTGGCAGTTAAGGGCAGTTGGCTTACAGGTCCCCACAATCAAACTACATTTCTGGTTTGTGGCTCTTTACGCAAAGGGCTATGCAAGATGTGTCAGGTATCCCAGCACTGGATGGATTAATCTGAGTGATTTGGAAAAAAAGTATGCACAGTGTGTGAAAAAAAAAAACAAAAACCAAAACCCCACCACTCCTTGCCTCACAGTCCCTTAGCAACTCTTCACTTACTTATACGTGCGCTAGCCATTCTTTTTCAGTGTTTTGGCTACAGAGTTTATTAAGCGGTGGTAGTGCAGAGACCAAAACAGAAGGTAAACTCCTCATTTGACATATGCTGTTGACTGGGGAAACAAGGAAGAGGGTTTGGTTTTTTTTTCCTTCCCTTGTTATTCAAGAAAACGTCCCTCTCTCTCTTTTCTTCATTTGTGTCCAGAGAGGGCATCACCTGTTGAATAGACTCCACTGTTAATCCCACAGTCTTCAGTCCTCATAGAGTCTATTAATTCCTCCTCTGAATCATCCTCCTCTTCCTCCTCTGGGGCTGACAGGCTGGATGTGGGGCCTTTACAGATTTTTAAGTGGCGAGTGAGGTGATATTTGGTTAGATAAGCCTTGGAGCATTTTTCACAGACATAGTCCCTCTTTCCTTCATGTGAATTGAGATGCTTCTTCAGGTGATTTGTCCTCAGAAACAGCTTGTCACACTTGGGGCACTTGATCTGCCGTTCTCTGCAAGACAGGGAAAAGGTACAGTTCGCTCCTGCTGCAAGGCAGCTGATTCTGTATTAAATAGTGGGAGGTGCCAACAAGAAAGGTGAAAGGGTTGGTCTTACTCCTAAATCTTAGTTTCAATATACTTGAAGCAGCAGCAGACCAGAAATAACGGCACTACTGCAGCAATAAAGCATAAATACTGCTCAGTTTTCTCTCACAGAATACATACACAAAGCCCTTCTTCTCTGCCTTCCCGCCCCCCAAGATCACTGGCAAAAGTCAGGCTTTTTGGATTAACTGCTAGCTTGCAACCATTTTTCTTTCTTGATGATAAATTAAAGGAGGAGGAATTCTACAAGGGTGTTTGTTTGTTTATTTTTTGAGTAAGACCAGACTCTGGTTAAGCTCCATGTTTTGGCAAGGGCAGAGAGGTTACCATGGTGGAAAGGTTTGTCTCCCTCCTTCCCACCTTGCATAAACGGTGGGGAGGGAAGAACAAAAAAGAAAAAGCTACCGCGTGTTAACAACCCTCAGTCTGTAAACGCTAAGCAGAGGCTTGTAAGACTGCAACTGTCAAATGCTGTAGATGACTGCAAAACACCTCCCAGCAGCAATGCTCCTGGCTCTGGCTGTGAGAACAAGCAGCAAAGCAAGTCTGTCTGTCTGCCTCTCTCTTGTGCACGCTAGCTGTGCTATGCTGTCTCCTAGGCAGCATGACAGAAGCAGCAATCGATTCCAAGTGAGTACAAGAACCAGATGCTGAAAATGAAATCAGCACAGGCACTAGCTTTGGGCGAGCAAAAGGGAGGACCTTGGATTGGGAGTAACTAAACATGATGGAGAGATTCTCGCAGCAGAAGGAAAGATCTAGCCTGGGGGGGGAGAGCTGAGGGGCTGGCAGACCTGCAGCTAACTGGAAGGGGACCTGGGGGTGGGGATCTGCCCTAACTGTGGGATGTCCCTGCAGGAGGAGCAGGAGATCAAGTGCATGAACGAGACCTGGGGGGGAGTAAGAGCTGGGAATGACTGCACCCCACACCAGTGCAAACAGAGAGACAGATTTCACTAATAAGCTACTCGGTGGGAACAGTATTGAGGGGTTTACCATTTTTTGTGGTCACATTGGGATGTGGAAACAGTTCTTGGCAGGAAACTAAAATGTAATTTAACTAACCCTCTCACTCTTCAAAGTGATGAGCACTCCAGAATGCCATTGCACAAGACAAGGTGCACACCTGGAATTTACCGTGTCATTAAAATATTGCAGACACTAGAATAGGACAACTTCAGCCAGTAACAAGGAATTTGTCCAGCTAGACTTCTCTGTAATTTTAGAGGACAAACCTATACTCCCTAGGCATAACTGTCTTCAAACTGGAGTTTCTCTCTTGGGCTTCGTTATTTATTGCACTGGCCAGTCCAACACAGCCTGCAGGATCACTTACTGTGTGTGAGTGAGTACGTGCTGCTTGAGGTCCTGCCTCCGCATGAACAGCTTTTCACAGTAATCGCACTTCAGGTTCTTCTCCCCAGTGTGAATGACCATGTGCGATTCCAGGTGAGCCTTCTGGGTGAACGATTTGTCGCAGAGGGTACAGCGATAATTCTTCTGGCCTAGGATTACATACGTACACCCACAAATTGACAGTCAGTGTGCCAAGAAACACAATAAGCAAACAAGCCTGCCCACTTCTGAAAAATAAAATTTCACCCTGAAGAAAGGCAGGTTCTTTGTGAACAGGACCTGTTTCCTCCTGCAGTTCCTTCAGCTTCAGCAAAAAAGGTCTACCTAGTTACAGTCTAGCTTTAGCTATGCAAAAACCAGGCATCTGACTTCATTTCATCATTCCCAAGGCTTTTCACCCCTGACTCCATGCCCCCAAGCTGAAAAACCCACTTCATGCTACTGCTTCGACCCACTGAGCCCTTCATGTGATGCATGGTTCTGCGCTTTGTCCTTCTAAACACGGTTGGCTCCTCTTCCTCCAGTGCTTGTGGTGAGTCTGCCTTTCCTACAAGATGGGATTTCTGCTTCTTGTCTACACCAACTGTGCCTCCCTGTTCTGCATATCACATCACCACCGGTAGATTTGTAAATTTTCCAACAAAGAGATGCAGGCAAACATTTAACAAGACAAGGCTTATCCAAGATGAATTCTTGAGTAAAAATAACAGTAGCTTCCTTTTTAACAGTAACCATGGTAGCCATCCAGTTACTGCACATTAGTGCATCCCCAACTCCACTGATTTCTCACAGGAACTGTATCTGATGCCTTACTGGAGCCCAACCACATTTGACGCACTGCATTGCCTTTGTCTAGAAAAACAAGTTCCCTTATCTAACAAACACACAGGTACAAAGCTCACTGGCTCTTTGGTAAATTATATGTTTTATCCCATTTTCCCACTTATCTGCAATTCTTCCATTATTCGTTACCACAAATAGTTCAAAACCCCTGCACGCCATGGAATTCAGACTAAGTTTAAATCCCACTTGCATCCCTATCCCACTGAGTATGCCGTGGTTATGTATACCCCATTTGTACTTGATCAGTACATTAAAACTCCTCACTATCTAGCCTGCAGCTTCCTATGCTTGAATCAAGTGCACTGAACTCCAGATTTTATTCCCCCTCCAGTTTCGTGATTTGTATTCCTTGATTGCAAACAGCTATTTCAACCTTACTGAAAAAAATAAGGCAAAAATACACACACTGTCTATTGCCGGACTGTACTTGACCTTCACCCTCTCTTCTGTCCTCACTCTCTGTTAAACCCATGCCTTTTCTTATTCCCTCTCTTCTTACATAGCTGAAAAATCTTTCACTATTTTGTTTTCCTCTGTTAGCTCTCATTCACTGATCTTCTGGCAACTCTTCCTTTAACTCCACAGCCTCTAGAGACATCCAAATGCCCACAGAAGTCAACAGCATGTGCAGACTTAAGTTTTGATGAGTGACAGAGCTGAGCCTTACCCACATCAGTCTGACTCCAAAGTCACCAATTTCAGTCTTGTGCCATTTCCTTAAGATGAATGCCAACACTTCTTCCCAACGGTAATCAACAACTCATCAAATGCTCTTTTAGAAACACCACAATTAGCCAGAACACAGGTCTATGTACTGTTCTATAAGCACTGAACCCAGTGCAGCCCTATCCCATGCCAACCGGCATGGGCAGTGCCCAGGCATTAGCTGGGGTCAGCATGGACTAGAGATCATTCCTACAGACAGGATGCTGCCATTCTTAGAAAGGCAGGTCAAGGGAGGTGATCCTGCCCCTCTACTCTGCTCTCGTGAGACCCCACCTGGAGTACTGCATCCAGCTCTGGGGGCCCCAGTACAGGAGAGACATGGAGCTGTTGGAGCGAGTCCAGAGGAGGGCCATGAAGACGGTCAGAGGGCTGGAGCACCTCTCCTATGAGGACAGGCTGAGAGAGTTGGTGGTGTTCAGCCCGGAGAAAAGAAGGCTCTGGGGAGACTTTATTACAGCCTTTCAATACTTTAAGTGGGCTTATAAGGAAGACAGAGAGAGATTTTTTACCAAGGCCTGCAGTGACAGGACAAGGGGCAGCACTTTTAAAGTGAAAGAGGGCAGATTCTGGACATAAAGAAGAATTTTTTTTTTACAATGACAGCAGTGAGACACTGGAACAGGTTGTGCAGAGAAGCTGTGGATGCCCCATTCCTGAAATGGTCAGGTTGGATGGGGCTTTAAGTGACCTGATCTAGTGAAAGATGTCCCTGCACACAGCAGAGGGGTTGGACTAGATGTGGAACAACGGTCCCTTCCAACCCAAACCATTCCATGATTCTATGTTTCTAAGAGCTTAGATTTCTGGACACAAGCTATGCCCTGCCAACTGGATGAGGTATCAGAGAGAAAAGGTCCTGCCCCAATGTTTTACTACCACAGGTACGTCTATACATTCCCCAGCCCTTACCTGTGTGTATCTTGAGATGTGTCCGTAAGTTGCTAGGATCACTGAAAGCTTTGCTACAGAAATCGCACTTGTGCGGCTTCATGCCCATGTGCCCCATGAAGTGGACGTGGAGCTTGGAAGGGGAGATGAAAGCCTGGGGACACATGGAGCATTTCCACTTCCTCTCCTTGCCATGGCCTGGCCCATGGCTGCTGCTGTGCCCCTGGCTGGGGAGGTGGTTGTGAATATGGCTGCTCAAATGGGCCTTGAACTCCGCGTAGGAAGCGCATTCCTTTCCGCAGTGGCAGATGTGCACATCCGGATGTTCAGGGACACCTTTGGGCAAAAAGCATCACTTTTAATGAGGCACAGCGAGGCTCAACAGAGCGTGACCCACGTTAACACTTTGTCTGTGGTAGCAAAGCCAGCTGCAGAGATTTTCACCACTGTTCTTTTCAGCTCTAGTACTTGCTTTTCAGCTCTTTTAGGTAGGACATTTCAAATGCTTTGGGGAGGCAAACTTTGGAATGGTTTTGAGCACAGCTCCACCAAACCTACACTATCACAACCAAAGGTGGGGGAGGATAGGAACATCTTCAGCTAGCAAAACTCCCTCAGCACTAGATGGATGAACAGAAGAAAAACAACCCTTCTTCTTTGAAACTCCGATCTTTTACTCCTCATCAGTGGAATTAGATAGTGAAATATTTCTTTTAAACCATGGTACTCCTGTAGTCACAAAATGTAAAAGGAAACTGTGATGTGCACCACTAGGAACTGAGAAGGAACATAATGCACTCTCAAGTCACAGCGCCCAGAGAAGGCATTAAAAGGGAACTCAAGCTGAGTACTCTCCACAAAGTCAACGAAGGTGAGGGCTTACTTACCAAGCTGTCGTGCATAGTCCCGACTGTAATAAAAGAGAAGCTCGTGTTCAGGTGGGATGTCCCGAGAGGTGCAAAAGTAAATTTTTCCATCGTGAGGATAAGCTACCAGATTCTGCTCTTCCCGGTTCCTACAGCAATAACAACAGTTATTGGGGGGGAAAAAAAAAAAAAAGCCTTCCAGAAATAATGAATTTTTGAGAGAGAGGAAAGAAAAACCTAAGGAAATTCCTATAAATAGGTAATAAGAGAACCTCAATGCTTGTCAGCATATTATAAAAACATCCATGTCTGTCACTTTTGTCCTTCTTTACTAAAGGAAAGGAAAACTGGACCTTGAGAGCCAATCTGCTCCACCAAATGATACATTTTTCACACCGCTGTGATATCTTGCTGAGAAAATTATTAATAGACATTGGAGTAAGCTGAGAGAAGAGACATTATGATCTCTTAAGAAACCACAAAAATATATGTATTTTTCATATTAATCCCCTTAAGAAATAGAGAACATCTGAGGGAGAAATAAGTATCAATAAAGTCTAATGCAAAGTTATCTTCAAAAATCACTCTTGAAAAGCATTTCCAAGATGTGATAATTCATCTTCTGAAGCTGTATCCTGTGTATGTTTGTTCTCAGCATCTGAAACCAGCAAAAGCTCTGCCCCACTGCAGTGGGAGACCAAGCGTTAACTTCTTGACTCCTGCATATGGGAGCAATGAAATGAATTGCAGGGGAAGCCTACTTTGTGTCACAGAGCAATAGGAGAGGTTCGGCCTTCTCAGTGGACCATGTATGGAGCAATACTGAAGCCAGTCTGGATAGTTTTCATCGCAGGCTCCAGAAAGACTGAAAAGGACAGCTCTTGTGAGCTGTAAGAGCCTGGAACTTGGCCAAAAGAACCCAGGGACACTTTGCTAATAAAGTATTAAAATCAAAAAGACAATCAATGTCATCTTCACAGGTGCATCCAAACGGAAACGGACAGAGGGAAGGCAGTAACAAGCTAATACACAGTAAGCTGATACAAAACGAATCTGATTTAAAGCTTTAGAACAAGGGAAACAAAGTATATGGGCAGGTTTGGGGCTGGTTTACTACAGTATGTGTACTGGTTCCCCCATAACATTCTGCACTGGGTGCTCTGTTTCATTCTTCCCACTAGTCCAAGATGCCTAGGTAACTCCTGAAGGTCCCTTGGTCCCAGGCTCATTACCCATCTGGGCAGTCAGGGCAGCAGTGCACCTTCTCCAGCACGGCCTCCGATGAGCCTGCAGCTCAGATTCCAAGCTACTTAGAGCACAGCAGAGGTGGTTCTCACCTGGCTTTGCGTACAAACATCATCCAGTTACATTCATTTTCATCAGTTGTAATGATGCAGAACTCCAGGACACCACTGTGATAGATCTACAAGGAAAACCAAATGCAATCTTAGGACAAAACACAGCGACAAATGCAGTGAAAGCCAGCTTCTTTCTTTAGGAGAGGATGTGTCAGGAGGTCTCCATTGCCATTGTCAGGACCACAGCCCTGTTCTTACTGCTTACTTTCCCCTTCACACAGCAATCTCTGACACCCAGGAGGCTAGAAAAACTGTTTATCAGCATCTTTCCCACACATTACCTTTAGCTCCCAGCAGAAACGCATTTGGCTGCTTTTCTTACAAGCCAAGTCTTGTGAATAATAATATCTGGGCAAACAGTACGTGTTTTATTTATATAGATCAATTTCACCTTCTCAACGTGAAATAATGTGAAAAAGAAAGCTTGAAAGCAGCTTTCCTAAAACAAATCATTCATCACCTGGGGAAACTTTCAATAAACAATGAATCAAAACAAAGAAACAAATGCTGCTTAGTAATTCACATACAATCTCTGCTGCAACTCCAGATAAATGCTGGAAACCACACACTGACCTTTAAAAGAAAAGGCATTAAAGAAGTCTGTTGTACTTCAGGACTGATTACTAGCATATTACATGGTATACTGCTCTGCTATGCTGATAGGAAGTATTAAACAATCAAACTGCATTAATTTTGATTTTTGGCAAGGATGATAATGTTAAAGCTGCTGTGTCCTGTGGTGGCTTTCACCAGATAAAGGCATGCCTGCAGACTCTGTGAGCCATAACATCCACTGACCTTCCAGATGTGACTGGCTGCTTTGTCTGTCCAGTCAGCCACCTCCAGAGAATGGCTCTGCTGCCCGATCAAAGGTCCAAAACAAGTCCTTACAGGAATGGTTTCTCGTGTCCACACACCTATTGGTAGAAGACCAAAATCTGCAGAAATCAATTATTTAAACAACTAATCATGCATAACAAAGAGGTGGGAGGTTTATGAGATAATGCTCCAGGGGTAATAATATCTAGGCAAGTGATCATCAAAGCTTCTACTTCGCATGTAAAACACACCTAAGGCAGAGACAAGAACCACCACCACCACATGACACTATTGGGAGCCGCTTTGTTGTAATTACAAATATTTATTTTGTTTGTCAAAAGCAAATAATTTACTTTTCAGTAAGCTACAAAACTAAGATCCTAGCCACTTGTACCAATTAAAGTTTTCATGGCACTTTCTGCAGAAGCAGAAAATACTAGTTTCAGTAACTACATTTCGCCTACCTAATCCCCAGGAATTTCCAGAATTGTTGCTGGGCATTGTTAAGCAGCTTCTGCATTTCTCCCCAGAGGCAGCTGTATTTCTGTCATGGGCAGAGGGATTCCTGCGTGTATATTATTTATTATTAAACATTTATATATATATAGGTCTACATGAATACACTGAATAGCTTTTAGGAATACACTGGAAGCTAGTGCAGCTTGAAAAGAACAGATGTAATCTACTCTTAACAAGCAGCATCACTAAGCAAGCCAATAATCACATTCTCCTCTAGCCTTCAGATCCTTAGGGTATTGCACTGTACTCTTCGATTTCCAGGTGACAATGGCGTGAAATACAGTAACAAGGTCCACATCCAATGACAAGGTCACAGTCTACATGCCAAATGTAAATGAGGGGAGGGGGAAAAAAAAAAGAAAAAAAAAGAAAAGAGGCACTTGTGATCAATTCTCCAGTGACAGCATCCAGAGGACCCACAGGTAGCAAACCAAGCTGATGAACAAGCAGATAGAAATCTCCTTCATTATTACTAATTGTTTTCTTCCCCCAAACTCCAACTGCTGTAATGTTTTCTTATCAAAGCTGTGCCTGGGCTGTTTAGCACACAATAAAAATAAACCTTGCTTGTGCTGGACCTTACAAAGTGTTTCAGTAAGACTGTGGCAGCACCCCTAGAGTCTAGCTGACATCTAAGAAGTAACTAGAGGACAAGAAGCTCTTGCACAATGGAAGTCAGGGCGATTACAGAAGAGGGAGCCACCTCTCTATCACAATGTTTCTTTCCCACATTAAAATCCTTACAGTTTTGGATTGCAGGCAGTGAGTGTTTTTTGAACTGCTACATAGAAATATAATCTGATTCTTACCCACGTCAGCTCCCATGATAGACTGCCGGAGGACAAGCTGCTTAGGGAGAGAAAGCCTGGCTCGGCTCTCTATCGGGGAGTCAGGGACAAAGGTGACGGGCCCATGATCTGGGCAGTCCGATGGATATGCCTTGTCACACAGTGTGCACCCTGCAGACAAGGGAAGAGAAACAGGGATTAAAAAGATACAACAGCCAGGGATTAAAAAGATGCGACGGCCCCCACGGTTCAATCAGCTCCCTACCAACATGCTTCAGCGCTCCTGCCAAAGGAGCTCCACTTTACTAGCTTTTACTGAGAAAAGTATAAACCATATTATTACAGTCAGGTGGGCACTGATGTACATGTCACGGTTTGTATCCAATTCAGACCAAACATGAAGATCTTCACCTGCCTTCATGACGGTAAATTAACTGTCTAGACTCTAGACTATCCCTAAAGGGGCAATCTAGCCCTGCAACAGAGTCCGCTCTTCATCAAAACTACTCAAAAAGTGGATGATAGTTTCACCAGAGCTGACAGTAATGCTGGTGAAGGAAGACCCATTTTCTCCCTGATCACAAGTGAAATTACCTTTATTAGCAGAAAAATCCAAGGCATACCAAACCAAACACTTTCTAACTATGTTTCTGGAATTTACCAGGACACAAGAGTTTACTTGCATGTAGAACCTCAAGGATACTCATGCAAAGGGACAGTAAGGTCTTCTAAAATTCTTCCAATTTGAGCCACAAATCCCCTTAGCTCCATTTAAATTCAGACAACGTGCAAATCTTCATGGCATCAAAAACCTGACCACACTGCTGCTTTTGAAGGACCTACTGCAATAAACTCAGTATACCTCTATGGGATGCCACCAAATGGAACAAAACCAAAAGTCCAAGAAGAATCAGCAGCATCACTCTCCCAATCTGTCATTCAGTGTAAGTACTGCTGAAAAATAAACCACTGAAAGTCCTCAGCCTAATAAATTCAGGGAAAAGTACAGCATAAAATGCTCTCATCTAGAAAAACTACATCATTTTAATTGTCTATGAATGGAACAACCAACACCTAGGTGGCAACCACTCTTGTGAAAAATCATTCTTCTTCTGAAGAAAGATGCTCAGGAAATTAAGCAGGATATACACAAAGACCTTCTTTGGCCTCTTGATGGCCCAAATCCAGTATAAAAGACCTATCACAGAAGTAGTTTCCGGCAGGCATAAACAGTGCCTCCATTATTACTTGTTTAAAGAGATTTTTGGGGCACTCCCTTCATACAGCAGGGTACCAGAATCTGACCCCATGCAAAGTACAGTTTGAGCAACTACACAATTACAGATAGGAAGGTACTCAGAAAATTATTAGGTAGAGCCTATATAAGCATTGCTTCATGTGCACAGATGACAGGTAGGAGTACAGCAGTGACAACAACCAGACCTGAGTAATGAGAAACACTATTTAGAACAGCTGTTTTTAAGCATTGCCTGGCACATACCACTACGAGTCTGTGAACTAGCCCCAAGGAGAGGCAAAGAGGAAGAAAAGCAAGTTCTAGGCATGTGACACTTCCACTTGGAAAGGTTTAGGGATTCATACATTTTTCAGAAATTGAAATAAAAAATCCTACATTCTACCGGAAGCAAAACATACCATTTCCTTTCCATTTCTGTCCTTGCCAAACTGTAAAAAAAAAACCCAAAACAAACAAAAAAAACCCCCATCACCAAAAAAAAACCCCAAACCAAACACAGTGATTATTTCTCTGATTTGGGTACCCAGAATGGTAAACAAAGATGACCAAAAAAGGGCTATGTAAAAGTTTCACAAACATTTAGGACTGTAGCAAAGGCACATTTTTTTCTTCCCTTCGGAACTGTGTAAAAATTTTTCTGAAAAAGGCCCTGACTCCTGCCTTCTCAGGGAGGAAAAGCCACTAAGAGGCCCTAAAACAACTCCTCCTCCTTGCTGTCCGCTGTCTGGACACAAATTCATGTTTTATCCAGAAATTTAAAAACAACAACAAAAAGTTAAAATTTAAACTTCCCAAGTCAAAGATCTATTTTGCAAATCACATGAAAGCACTAGGCATGCAACAGCAGTTATAACATCCTCCCAATGGGGAGCATCATCTGGGAAACAGCTTAGGACTATTTTAAGTATAGTGACAATAAGCTGGCACATCAAATCTCACTTAGGTGAGGAAAAGAAGTTATTTCACAATGAGCATGTTGGATATTATAATATTTTGATCATTATTTGTTCAGCATGCAATGGATGCTTGTAAGAACTTCCAAGTACATCAGCTGTAAAATTCTTCCTCTAGGAGTTGTAAAATCATGATAGTTCTATATCCACCTGATTTTAAGTTATATTTCATCTCACAGAATAAAAGTTTTAATTTAAATGTCTGACTAGACACTTCACAGTAAGCCGCACCTCTCCCATTGCTACCCAAGGCACTATTTCTTTCCATTTCTTAAAAAATGTTCTGCAGGCGAAGCTTGTCATAAGGCTCTGGCAGTTGTAGGGCCAGATGGCGTGCAAGAGCAGCACTCAGCAATGTCACCACAACTAATAAAACTGAATATAAAAGCTGGCCTTACGCTTCAGTGGCAGGAAGGCAGATTTGCTGAGGCTGGAAGTTCAAATCTCTGTCCCAGCAAACAAGAACTTCGCAGTTCTCAAACACCACTCCTTGAACAACGACAGGATTGACAGAGTGCAATGTCCAGCACTCCTCTCTTCCTAGGAGATCAACTAACCTCTGGACCAAAGTCCTTTGGTGAGAACAATTAGAAATATTAAAAACTTCCCTCCCTCTCTGCCCCTTTTTTCCAGCAGGTCCTGCTGAGAACAACATTTTCATGATGATTGTTCACGGTTTAATAAACATTCTGCAAAATCACACAATGTCATACTCAACAACTATACCCACTTGATAAATGTATGGCCTGTGGCAGTGTTTGTTGGGTTTTTTTAACACAGCAAGAAGAATCATTTGTGACATGACTTTAAAAAACAAAAGTCTCATTGCAAAGGATAATATCAGCATATCCACAAAAGGCAAGAGGTTCCTAAAGAACTCAGCTTCCAACATCAGGGCAACATCGGAGATGGATACCAAGAGAACAACACTAAAACATCCTATTGTATCTACTTCCAACTAGCATCGTTTCAGAAAGGTTAACCTGCCACTGCAGATGTTCCAACTTTTGTGGACTTGTTAAATAACTAAGTTTCTTTCACCCAAAATCTGTAAAACTATCAACAAGAGTCATCTCACCAGGCAACAGCTACATAACAAACCCTACCCAACCCAAGAAAGAATGAAACACCCACTCACATATGGTAAACAAGGTTGCCATGTTCTCTTTGTTCGAATTGGAGTCTTCCATTTGCAGAGAGGATGGTACGAAGGCAAGATTGTCTGCAGACACATCCACGTGACTTGGCCCCATGGCTACTTCCTGATTTATGGAAGACACTGCCACCGGCTCAAGGCTGAGGCCCACTTCGTGCAAGGCTACCGAGTCCAAGGAAGCTAGGTTGTGTGAGGTAGAGAGCGCCACACTCACAGAGTTGGTGCTCATGGCCACAGTATGAATTGAGTCATTTAGTGTGCTGTCCGATATTCCCGTCACCCGCCCGGCGATGTGGTCGGGCTCCATGACAACAGGGAGTTCCAAAGTGCTACCATGAATAGGAATGACACCACCGTGTCCCACAGCGTCTGACGTCAAGTTACTCCCCACTGTGTCTACGGCTAAAGGTTCGTGGCTCCGGGAGCCGTTCGGGATCTGTGAATGATCCCCAGCTACGTCATCCATCGTAAGCTCCTCTGTCATCCCATCTGTAGAGATGGGGCTGGTTACCCTTGAAACGCTCTCCATAGTGATTGTAGTATCCAGCGCTACCTCATGGCTGTCACTAGGATGCAGATTTTGAGCACCATGCGTGTTCACTGTGCGGGAGTCCATGGAGACAATCCCTGGTTCCAGTCCCACGCTTCCACTGGGCTGGTAGGGATCTAGGGCTGAGGGATTGCTGGAGACTGACAATGCCGGATTGCTATCAACATTTATAGTGTTGGGATGGATGTACTGAGGTGGAGGTCTGTCAGCCAAGTAAGATAAGATACCTGATAGAATGAGAGGGGGCAAGAGTGTGAGATTACATCAGTTTTCAAATCTTGAACAAAAATACCCCATCATTGCAGCATAGTACATTAAGACCCTAAAGCCTTGAAGACATGCTCTTTACATTATGTCCAATTAAAACCCACTAATTCTAAAACATGGCTTACAAACACATGCCAACCCAACACTCCTGTCAAAGTATCACTTGACAACAAATACAGAGCTTCCATCCAACAAAGCAAGTCTCTAGTTATTTGTCAAACTCTGAACAGTCACATTTCTGGCAACATCTAACCTAGGCTCCACAGTACACAGACTGAATCAGAAGTTGTTCTTCTGATTTCAGGCATAATTTTTCATTCTCAAGAAACAGCTCACAAAGAATGAAGGACTGCTTGTGGAATCTAACATTTGATGATCTCTCGTTCATCTTTGCTATGAGCAGTAGAAACAGTTCACCAAGATACACCTTTTTGCTTCGGTATTTTAGTTTCAACAATGACTACTTCCTTCCTCTAAGACTAAGTGACACAACTGTCCATCTCACAGATCATCAACTGCAATTTTAAAGGACCAAGATAAGGTGTCTCAAAAGAATCATGAGTCATCTGCTCTCTTTCCTTAGATGAAAGATGTTTCTCCTAAAACAACAGCCCAGTTAAATTTCAATCGGAAACAGTAACATCTTTCTGGTAGTTCTGGAAAGATCTTCAATGACAACCAACCTTAGAACTTCAGATACAAAGAAACACTAACCTCTATTTATATACTACCAACTTTTCTCATTGGACAAAGCTAAAAAAAAAGAATCTTTGGAGGAAATACATCAGCACATTCAAGTAAACATTACTTCCAGTAGATTCTGCAAGATCTGAGTCAGCACGTTTCTTTTTGGCCTTGAATCCTATAAGCCATTTATTCTGTAAGTTTTCCTTTCAAACGTGTCTGTTATCACAAGCATGCAAGCATGGATATTCTTTCTGCAGCACAAACCCATTAAAAATGGCTGAGCCAAGAAATGGACAGTTTAATTTAATTAGCTGCACCAAATATTTCTGCATGCTATGCTGCCCTGTGGCTTGAACAAGGAGGATCCTTGAAGGCAGTAAGATAACTGACAGAAGAGTCCTATGAAACATCAGGCTAAACATCAAGCAGACTAGAAAGAAAAAATACATTTCTGCATAAATTATTCCAGCTCAGAAGAATGGCAAGTGCCTTCAGTCCTCAAATGCACTGTCTCCTCCTCTACTCTTTGCCCACAAAATGGACAGGCATGTAATACAATAGGAAAGGTTACTCCTAAGCAGTTCACAAGTTCAAACACTAGTCATCAGGTAGTTGATGAGATCTGGACTGCTGTATCTCTTTTCCTAACCTAGGGTAAACCAACAACACCCACTGGGTGACCTGGAAGTTTATCTACGCCCTTCCACCCTGTCAATCTTAGCTACAAAACAAAACAAGGACTACATTTAAAGCTCAAATTTTTGTGTCTTCATATACTAACATGTAAAATTCTACACTTACACTCTAAAACACATGTGAGAGAGGAATCAAGATAGAAGTCAGTATATTAGGCCTTTCGAAACCAATCTTGACCAAAAATGAAGAAAACCTATGCCGTGGGCTAATGGGGTGGGAACGTGCCCAAACTCCTCAGCTGATGGTTTGCTCTTTTTGAGCTTTGAATTACTTACTGTAACCTACCATCATGTACATATCAAGTTCTGCTTCAGACTACAGGAGAAAAAAAAAAAAGCAGCAATTTTCAAACTAAAGCGATTTGAGACAGAAATCAGGCACGCTTTGTTTTCTGTCAATCTTAAAAACCAAAGCGACAGGAAGAGTAGCCTGAGGTTAGGTTCAAATAGAAAATACCCTGCGATTCTCTTCACATACATACACAGAAACAGAGACCTGAAAATAAAGGTGTGTAAATGACACAACAGACTCCAGACAAACTCTAAGAATTTATAGCTCTGCAAAACAGTTAGTCTTGCCTGCTTCAGGACAGAAACTGGTGCCTCTTAGAACAATTTCCCTCTCTGTTCCCATCCATCAGCACCATACCACTTACCAGGTAGAATGTGTCTGAAATAGCTGCTCTCCAGGTGAGGGTACGGTGGAGGAGGTAGGGTGTAGTTTCTCTCTGGTATACCACACATCACTCCTCGATCCCCAATACCCATTGGGAGCATCAGAGATAGAGCAGAGGGCAAGGAACTCAAGGAGGGGCCCAAGTTTGGAATTGCAACAGGCAAGCCTGCAAAAGAAAATGCCCATTTAAATTCAATGGAACTACATAAGCTTATGAACACACAAGCTAACAAAGAGGTTACTAATTCCTCAGGAGATCCCTATGGAAGTACAGTACGGTACTGCCAAAGTAAGGTTGCAAGCTTCAAATAAAGGATCATAGTTATCACAGCACTGAGAGGCATGCCTGAATGTGGCTACATCTTTTTTGGATACATTATATAGGGCCTGCTTCTACTTTACAATTGTAATGGCCTTCTGTCTGTGCAGTCCCCTGAAAAAAAAAAAAAGAGCTAGGAAAACAGTTTTGCTTTACAGGTGAAAAATCATTATTTTCATCTGAGTGAAGATAGACATAGATGGAAACAGATTTGCAGCTACAGTTTGTATTTCAAAGGATTCTGCTACCCACAGTGCAAACCACCCTGTTAGAACAAAATGAACATTAAGGCATAAGCCCGGTAAGCACACATCCCTTTTGCTTTGCCCACATCAGCAATGATTTATGGTCTACCCTTCCCCAATTCTACACCACCTCATTTCCTACTAAAGGCACAACTTGCTACAAGAGCAAGCACTGCTACCCAGTTACAAACATTCCCATGACAGTAAAACACAGAGTGTGAGCTGCAATACCCCTTGTGGGAGCTTTCCCCATTACCTGGTGCTGGTATGGCATTGTGAGTGGGTGACGCTGCCAATCCCAAGTGACTCCCTGAGACTGGCAGGGCATTGCTCACAGAGGATGAGGTCAGCTGGTCCATCCCTACAGGACTCAAGTTCATTTCGTTCATTCTGGGGCCAGGAAACAAAGAGGGGAGGGGAAAAAGAAAGAGAAAATGAAGCAAGAACATTCCTGATTACTGACTGTACTGCAGTGAGGAAAGGCTGAGCGAACAAACTCAAAATCAGACACTGACACATAAAAACTCTGCCTTAGAAAGCAAAGTATAAAGCGCATCAGACACACTGTGATCATATGATCAATATACAGATTATATTAGATAACAATAACCAGGATTAAAAAGCCAGTTCAAAAAGACAAATCAGACCATAACTTTTTCCTTGCCATCCAGAAAACAAAGTCTCACTCCTAGTAGTCAAAGCCACCATGATTAACGAATTGTGAACAGAGATCAATTTGCAAGCCAAATGTCACAATTACTTGGACAACAGCATCTGATTTATATTTCATGACTTCTAGACATCACATTCATGTTCAAAAACCAAAGTCAATGGACAGGAGAGGGAAAAATCATTTAAAACTGGTAATGGACACAAAACCTCTAATTCACCATCTGTTTGAACCAGGCCAATAGTGACAAGAGTCACCTCTGCAGAATAGCCATTTTATACAGTTTTAACAGGCTGCCTCAACCTGGTTCTGCACACATGGCACACGCTCCTATCCCATTAAAAATTGGCACTGTAGATGACACGTTATTTCAGAGCAATCAATCGGCGGTTCTTGAATGCCTGCACCTCTCAAGCTACTCAAGTGGGTGCACATCACAGGAATGACTGTAGAGCTGCTGAAACCACTGGGCTGCCCAACAACCCAAATCCCCAGCCTTAGGAGAAATCATGCCAGCTCGGAGCACGTTCGTCCTCTGGGGTCTCAAGCCACACATGCAGCCTGAACCATTTCACAGGGACGGGGACACCAAGAAGAAACTATCATCTTCCACTTGTCAACAACTTTGCAAGCTCTGTCTGGCCTTAGCTTTGCCCACCCTGGGACTCCTGCCCACAAACCAGCTCTAATCAGCAGTTCATAGGGCTAGAAAGACTGGCTGCCCCCATTGCGGTCACAACTCTGTCAACAGGACTGAATGGCCTCCATGCTGACCCAAGCCTCTCACATGCCCTTTGCCAGCAGCAGGCCCAAGCTCTGCGGTACCGATGGAGAACTGGAGCTTGGATTGCCATTCCAGTAAGGAAAGGTACCACTCATCCTGGAAAAATGGCCAAATACACCAAACTCACACAAGTTAACCTGAAGGTCTGAGCCACACAAACTGAGTCACTGACTTTCATCTCGCTTCTGCTCAGTTTTCGCATCGCGCACTCTCCTACTCTTGTCAACCACCCCACTTGCCTCCAGGGATGGGTTTGCAAGGACGGTGTGAGGGCTCTGGCTACCCGGCGGGGCAGGGGATATCCTCAC